TACAACTATAGAGATTAAGGTTTTGTGAGGTAAAAGCTCGAAAGAAGAAAATAGTCAAAGATTCGAAGCACAAATTTTTTCATATAATGAAACTAGTTAATAGCTTTTNGCTGGCAGAAAACTTCAAAATGCACTTGTGGTTCAATGTTACTACAACTATAGAGATTAAGGTTTTGTGAGGTAAAAGCTCGAAAGAAGAAAATAGTCAAAGATTCGAAGCACAAATTTTTTCATATAATGAAACTAGTTAATAGCTTTTTCTTTTTACTTGTAAAATAAACATTTCTAAAATAAATGTATTTTTTTATTATTTTTCGGTTTTTGTCTTTTCTAGTGCCTTTTTCTGCCTATTTCGCTGTTTCATTTCGCCTTTTTTATAGGTTTTGCCTTTTTTTTATAAGTTTTTAGGTCCTAAAAATGNCGTTTTTGCTTTTTAACACCATTTTTGTATTGGTCAACGCAAAAGTTTTTATCAGGCGTCGCGAAGCAATGCCTATAAGTGTATAAATTTGTTTAACGTTGGGGTGTCAAGTACAAACTTTTGGCTCTTTCTGATTGGCTGAAGCCGAAAGTTGTCTGATACTGAACTGGCAATACCTCTAGTTCGATATACAAGCCAATAAAGCTTTTCATAAGCCAATATAAATATGTTGGATATGTCTTCCATACAAAATAAGCTAATAGCTTAAATTTCTGTAGTGGGATTCTGACAATCGCCACTCTAAATTTTCGTCGCCAAAATTCTCTAAACAAAAAGCAGTGGGTCCCAATAGTATACAACATGAAAAATTAACAGACGCAATGTGTAATCAGTCAGATCTGGCAGTATGTGGAACATCTAACTAGTTTTTGCATGTCGTTAGGCGTGCCTGGTATTGTTTTAGTTATTTTTGGCGATCAAAATTAGCGATAGCGATATTTTGAATCCCACTGTTGGTCATGTAAAACACGTCTAATGGTGCTTCTTTCTGCCTGGTACGTAATGCAAACGAAAAACAGGTAACAACTACATACAGTTGTCACCAATCTAATAAGAGTGCGATATTTCGACCAGTTTTGTCTATTGTTCTTTTGTTTGTTTAATGTTTATTAATAGGCGTTTTTTTTTTAACACGCATACGTATCTGCGCTTGAAAATTGTATGGAACTGTAAGCGACAAACCCTGACATTACAAGGTAAAATCATTCTTTCAATTCGTCGGCCATGATTTTTTTTCTGACGTTTTCCAGCATTTTAAAATCATATAAAATTGAGAATAAAAAACTGAAATTGATCACAGTTGTTGTCGTTTGAGATTGAAAATAGAAATATGTGTGTGAGTTTGAGTTTTGAATTTTTAAATTATATTGCTGGCAAACGCCAGATAGCCTCTCAATGGTTTTACCTTGTTCTGTTTTTATCATGCGACAAACTTTGTGTGCTTATGAATAAGTAGTTGTCGATAAAATCAAAATTACTTGTTTTGAAATGGAAATCGTCGATGACTGTGTTTTTACACGTTAAGCGTATATGTATATGCGTTAAAAAAAACACGGCTATTGTTAAGGTATAGCTCATTATCTAACAAAAAAACACATAAGTCCAAACGTTGTGCAAAAATTATAAAAACTCAAACTATGTTCACGAAAATTTCAAACTTTTTATTCTAGACATTTTCTTCCATATAAAAAGTTTTCAAGCATACTTTATATGGAAGACAATGCGTGACACCGTCAACAAAAAAATTTACAAAAATCAACACTATTTTGTAGACAGTTAAAACTTTATTATACCATACAATTATGACCCTAAAATTTTTCTAAAGTTTTAAATTTTGATAAAAATTTGCTGAATTTTTATTATTTTTGTAAAGTTTAAACTTTGGATTCATATGGTAATTAAGTTTTATGTATTTGCGAAAATATTTATTTATTTTTTTAAAATATTTTTATTGGGCTTTGTACCACGATTGTTTACTAGGAAAAATTGAAAAAGCAACAAAGTCTAAGCGGTAGAAGTTATAGCACTATTTCGGAGATCACCACATCTCCTCATCAGACTTCTTTTTTCTAGACTTCAGCAGGGATCGAACCTGCGAATTCGATGTTCAAAGTCAGAAGCGTTAACCACTGAGCTATGTACATCCCGTAAACTCTTGTTGCTAATTCATTTCCCTTATTCAACCAACTACTATCAAGTGCAGCTGATTTGCCGCTATTTAAACTCGACAGCGTGGTTGTTGTCAATTCTATACATCCATTTGTGGTACAAAGCTCAATAAAAATATTATATAAAAAAAAAAATGTTAACAAGCCACAATAACATTGACGAAAATATTTATTTATTTATTTATCAACAAACAGGATGCTTACAGACTATATGATAGATATGTAGATTAGGGTGCCCATCGAAACTGTATTTTTTTGGAAATTTCAAGACAAGATAAAATTAGCGGGTAGGGTCTTGAAATTTTCAAAAAAAAAAAACAGTTTCGATGTGGATGTACTATTTGTCTTTACATTGTCTTACCTATTTCGATCCGATACATCGAATGCGTCCATTCTCGATATTTATCTTGATGGTAACTTTAAAATACGTCACTGCAATATAACAAATGCAATGTTAGACTTTTGATTTTAAAGAATTTGTCTAGTTAATTATTTATTGAATTTTTGTAGTAAGCCTGCAGGACAACGGTTGCTCTGAAACGCGCTTTAGTAGGTAAAACCTAAGGTATACATAATGCTACCTCTATCGAAAAAAGTTATGTAATTTCAAGACCCTAATTTTTTCCTCTTTATGAGAAATAATATTTCCTATTTTTAGTTTTTTTTTATTTACAAATAAAGACTAAACTTTACATCGCCTATAATCGTATTTTTTTGGATTAGCATGCACTGCAGCTAAGAGCATATAACTTATTCACCATCAAGGCCAGAAAATAATTCTTACTCACAAGTAAATGAACACAAGTTGTTTTGTTTTAATTAACTTATACAATATGGCGTTAATTGATTTGAATTGAAAACTGCATCATTAGGTAATACATATTTACAAATAAATCAACTCATTCAGTCAGACGGAGTAGGTAAGCTTTATTGTTTACAAATTTTTATAAACCAGGCTAAAGAAAACATTTACTAGTCTATAAGCTGTGAGTTTAACCTAGAGTTACCGGATTTTTGTTCAACGCAAAATTATGAATGTAAGTAACAGAATAATACTTTAAAACGCTAGAGTACTTGTCTTTAACAATATTTTGGTATATAAGTAAAATATAGTTTATAACTNTGTCCATCGTTCCAACCACACTTTATACTAGGGTTGCCAGATTTTTTACGCGCGAAATCAGTACGTTAGACTTTTCCATGCTAAACAAATCAGTACTTTTCAGTACATTTTTGTTCAAAGCAAAATTATGAATGTAAGTAACAAATAATACTCTAAAACGCCAGAATATGGATCATAAAAAATTAAGGTGTTATTCATTTTAACATGAGTGTACACATCACTACACAGAAGCCAATAAATTATGTTATATTTATGTCATTTTTGTATAGAAATAATGAGATCATTTCTATCTTCAGTGTTTAAATAGTCAAAGAATTCTATACATTTCATTTTAAGATTACTTTTAATATGAAGTTCACTTTAAATAATTTTAATTAGAAACCGGTTTCTCTCTTTGCGCCAGGAAGCAAACTGTAGGCTTAAGATCCTCTCAGTTGCTTCATTTGAGTGTGGTATTGAAAAAAAAAAAAAATAATAATATATTTTTCAAACTTCGGAAAAGTGCCACTATTTAAGGACTTCATCTATAATTCCTCCTGGCTTAAATTAATTTAAAATTCACTAAAAGGAGTATCCAACTCTATGTCTTGTATGCAAAACTCTTTTACAATGTCAGTAAATTGTGAAAAAAGAGTTGTAAGTTATAGGCGAAAGCCTTTCGAATATTCAAATTTGTTGTTATTAAACTGAAAGTTGTTTTTGAGATAACTAACAACACTCGACAAAAAAACTTCAGCCTTTTTGTAATAATTTAAGCTCCATCATATCGCAACTGGTACGTAACGACCCGGCGATATGCCCATAAAACGATTGAACTTTTTGTTGTATTAATTTCTTGGGCATAGGAAACATTATCTGAAACATATCAACTATAATTAAATTATTTTCTTTTTACTATTTACAGTACAGTTTAAGTAAGTTCCAACGTTATGTATAACCTTAAGAAAATGCTAAAGTATTTTGTTTGAATTGAAAATTCAGTACAAATCAATACAAGTTTTGAAAAATCAGAACATTAGCGTACTGATTGAAGAAATGAACAAAATCAGTACAAGAGTTGAAAAATCAATACTGTACTGATAAAATCAGTACGTCTGGCAACCGTAGTTTAACCATATACATGTACAGTATTGGACATATCTATAGCACCCCCATTTCAAAGTGATATTGTTTGCCACTTATGTATAATTATTTATTTTTAAGAATTTTCAATTAAAATTCAGTTCATTCTCTAAAAAACTCATATGGGCAAATCTAAAAAATAGGTACACTCTCAAAAAAAATTTAATTTTTAAATTTGTGAGCACGCCTATGTTTTATATATCATTTTATTCGCATTCTCTTTATAAATCGATTAATATAAGTGTAATTCATTTTCATCAAGTGCTTCAAAAGTTAGATGCGGTATTCTGTTAGCACAATTCGGAAAGAAAAATTAAATTGTAAACAAATCAGCTGGCACTCGGCAAGATTGCATTTCTTGGCTCGTAAGTTTACTAGATCGTTTACGAGCCAAAATCGACTTGCAAACTTAAGCGGACTGTGTAAAAGCATTTTCATACAAATTTTGACATATTGTTTACGAGGCGGTATACTTACGAGGTGTAAAAGCCTCGCATTCACGTATAGCTCCTAAAATTGTTTAATTTTGTACGGAAAACCGGTTTATTTACGAGGTTTACACAGTTATGAGGCATTTACGCATTTATATGAATGCCCTGAATGTTTCCAAAAAATTCAAGAAAAAACAAAAGTTTATCGAAACCAGCAAATTAATTGAAACCGACTTTTTGAATTAATACGATGGAAAAAAACTACAACTTGGTAGATACCCACGTTCTTCACCAGTAAACTCCGCGCTCTCAGCGCTTTAATACTACTAGAACGCCGTATCTGCGCAGATACGGCATTTCAATAAGTTTTCCCGCAAAATTTACGTTCGAAAGAAAGACGTATCTACAGTTTCGCATACATGCAATTAAAAGTTGATGTTTTTTTTTCCATAAATAAAAAGAGGACATCTGAATTAGTCTAAAATAGTTTTCATTTACACAAAAACCATACATTGGACAGACCAAGTACAAACGCGTTTTTTCCAATTTCTCGGTTTGACTTCGAATGCAGATACCCACATTTTAAATCAGTACGGCAGTATAATCTTCACTAAGTAGAATTCTACTTTCTGTGTTGCTGAAAAAGAGGGGCTGAACCCCTTTTGCTGGGAACACCTTTCCACACAAATCACAGAAAATTAGTTAAAATAAATTATAAAGTAATGCTGTGACAAAATCGCTGGAATTGGTCAGCCGAGATAAAGTAAAAAAAAAAATATATATACAGTAAAATGCAAACATAAAGAAGTCATATGATACATCAGATAAAAGGAAATCAAATATACATTTTAAGAAATATATTTAAGGGCTATGTTAATAAAGCTTCTTTTTTTTTGAAAAAACTCATAGCATTTTTTTCATATATATTTATTCTCATCTTTTCCACAAATATCATACAATATGTATATCAAACGAAATATGTTTAAAATACCTTTGCTTAATTTTTCAAACGGTTAATTGGTTTCGAAGATACTGACGTCTTTAATCCTAGATATCGGCATAAATGCATTGGGGATCGATAGAGATCATTGCGGTGAGTATAACGGTATATATTTTTTTGCGGAAACAACTACAAAAGTTATTAAGGGTCAAAGGTCAAATTAAACACCTATATAAATAAAAATTTCTTAAAAACGAAGGCATGGACTTTTAAATTTTTTATCTCATTTGATAGGAAATTTAATTGCCTTTACTTTAATGCACATACTCTATATATGCATTGGTTAGTTTTCTCATAAATCCAATTAATGTAAAAAATATATAAAATAAATTTTAACAAACTCATTTTTTTAATTCCCTTATTAAGGATTTATAAATACGCAGAAAGGAGTCCCGCTTCTCTTCTCTGGCAACACAGAAAGAATTCTGCATAGTAAGGGTTATAATCCCTAAGTGCGGTCGAAGGCCGCCTACGTATAAAAGAGTTCCGCTTCTTTTCTGCGGCAACACAGAGAGGAGAATTCTGCGTAATAAGGGTTTTAAGTCCTAAGAGCGGCCGAAGGCCCCCTACGCAGAAAGGTTCCGCTTATCTTCTGCGACAACACAGAAAGGAGAATTCTGGGTAGTAAGGGTTATAGTCCCTAAGTACGACCGAAGACCGCCTACGCAGAAAGAGGTTCCGCTTCTCTTCTGTGGTACCACAGAAAGGAGAATTCTTTTTTAGTGAGGGTTATAATATCTAAGCGCGGCCGAAGGCCGCCTACGCAGAAAGAATTCTGCGAAAAAATACTGTGGATAGGGTAGCCGGTGTTGGATGGACTAGGGTTGTTTTATGCAAATACTTTGTAAAGTGAAGACTATTGACAGCATATTGTAAGTCAAATGAAAGCTTGATTAATTTTCGATTCAACTCTGTTAGGTCGCCCTGTGGCATTTCACCGTTTGTCAAATTTATTCATGTATTCCTTTATTTATCGTTTTTGTCGATTCACTGTATTTGGCTGACTTCCAAAACGTACCAATACAATGTTTTGATACTGTTCTACTGCGGTATTTAAACCGTTTATGTATGCAGAGTTGCGAAACATCGCATCCTTATACATTGCATACACTGACGTTAAGGAACAGTGCTGATACAATGTTTCTTCCCTTGATAATCAGCTGTTCTATGGTCAACTAGCGATGTTCCGATGACATAAAAGTATCGATAACAGTATGAAATGGTTTATAATCTGAGTATCGATGAAAATACTGGTATGTGTATCGGAAATAAAGAATAAATATTTTACCCTTTTGATACAAATACAAATTTTGACATAATATAAATGTTGAATTTTATGAAAATTAATAGGAATTATTTATGCGTAAAAACAAAGCACAAATCAAAAAGGTTTTATTCCACCGAATACCGAAAGGACTAAGCGCGAACTCCCGATGAAATTACATACGAAGAAATTCCAAATACTTTTTGCGCATTTTCCTGTTTAACAGCTCAACCTAATATTACCGGCGTGAGTTTTTCTACGCACGCACGCAAGTTTTTCACATTTGATCAACTGAAATCAATTTGCGTGCGTGATTTCTCAGAGTTGCATTTCTGCCAAACTTACAGAAGTTGAGCAAAATTTGGGCATATATGCAGAATAGCTCCGATTCTCAAATTAAAAAAAAAAAACATATGGGGATCGATAGAGATAACTGCGGTGAGTATAACGGTATATTTCTTTTTTTTACGGAAACAGCAATTACAAAAGTTATTAAGGGTCAAAGTTTAAATTAAACAATTTTTTAAATCAAAATTTCTTAAAAACGAATGCATTGGTTTTTAAAGTTTTGATCTCATTTGATAGGAAATTTAATTCCCATTAATTTGATATACATACTTTATATACGCCTTGTTTAGTTTTCGCAAAAATCGAATTAATGTACGCAGAAAGAAGTTCCGCTTCTCTTCTGCGGCAACACAGAAAGGAGAATTCTACTTAGTGAGGGTTATATGTATATAAAATTAAAGGGAATCAAGTTTCCTATCAAATGAGACCAAAACTTTAAAAATCCATGCATTCGTTTTTAAGAAGTTTTGATTTAAAAGATTGGTTAATTTAAACTTTGACCCTTAATAACTTTTGTTATTGTTGTTTCCGCAAAAAGATAGACCTACCATTATGTTCAGCTCAATCATCTCTATCGATCATCTCTATCGATGTTTTGCATTTGTTCCAAACTTTGAATTCATAGTCGTGCCAAAATGTCAAATGAGCACAAACGTCAAATCGAAATGTCACGCAACACAAATCTTGGAATTTGAGTTAGCTTTTTACGCACGCCGGTCAATTTCGGTTGGTCCCATACAAGTTGTATGTGCATGAGAAATTTTTGACAGTAAACTGCCGGCGTGCGTGAATATTAGGTTGGCCTTTAAAGAAACACAATATCATACGCAACCTTTTTTCCATCTGTGATCAGCCGATAATTAGTAAATAACGCATAGTGTCAATAGTATCGTCAACGAAGCAACGAATACCGATATCCCGGTATCGAAACAAAAGAATCGATATCCTCATTATATCAGCTGCATCCCTATAGTCAACACTTAAGCAAAAATGGAAAATACAGCGTTAAGAATTTTGGTAGAAAATTTCATGTGCCTAACTAAATATACAAATTGCATCGAAAATTATCGAAAAATACGGAAGAACAAAAAGCGAATAAAAGTTGTTCTGGCATTGTCCAAAACCAACGCAAGGACCCCAAGAAAAATACCCAAAACTGAGAACTTCTGGGAAGTAATAACGAAAATGCCAGACGATGTTTTCAGTAGCCATTTTCGGATGCAAATAGCCACCTTTAAGGTAAGTGTTTAGAATTTATTTAAAGAAGAAACCCAATACTAATACCTACTTCTTTTTAGAAATTGAAAAGTGCGCTAAAACCCTTTTGGCCAAACCGAAAACTGGCCGCCCTTCTTTGTCCTTGGCGAAGTCGCTCTATGTAACGCTGTGGAAGTTGTGCAACCAAAATTGCTTCCGGGAAGTAAGTGATCGGTTTGGCATCGGAGTTGGCACAGCTTATAGGTCATTTATCAAAACAATAAAGGTCATTCTGCGATTAAAGTCCAGGATCATTGTGTTTCCATCTACCGAAGCAAGCCAAAGATTGGTTATGGAGCAATTTGAAGCTAGCAGAGCACTCCCGTTCCCGTTTGTTTTAGGGTGCATAGATGGGACACATATCCGTATATCGCAACCGCTAAAGGACAGTATAAGCTATTACAACCGAAAGGGGACATATTCCATTATTGTGCAGGTAATATAACAAAATAAATGTAAATGCCACTTTTGCATTATTGATTATTATTATTTTCCCAGGCCATTGCTGATAGTAAACTTCGGTTTTTGGATGCGTTCATTGGACATCCTGGAAGATGTCACGACGCATCTGTATGGAATAATAGCCCTATCCGAAGAGCTATAGTCACCAACAAAATTAAAATACCACAAGAATGCCATTTGCTGGGAGTTTGTGCCTATCCTTTGGAAACTTATTTAATAGTGCCTAACAAAGACAACGGCCATCTTTCGGAAGAGCAGAAAAGATTCAACTACGTGCTGAGCTCTACAAGGGTTTTTGTGGAACAGGCGCTTGGAGTTTTAAAGAAAAAATTTCGTATTTTAAATTACTTAGAACTACAAAACCTAGCTCTGGCAAAGCAAATCATTATGGCATGTATGGTACTGCACAATATGATCATAGACAATGAGAACGTTACTCAAGATATGGAGATTATAGAGGAACGTAACACAAATTCAGACCTTGCTGCAGAAGAGTATTCGCATTCACAAAAAGAGGAAGCTAGAAGGAAACGAAGTAGATTGACGACGCTTCTTTCAGCTTAGATATACAGTGGCGGCCAAAAATGGATGAATGGTGTTTCGTTTTTAATATTTACAATGTTTTTCAAGCTAAAATTTTTTTGATATTATTTTATAAAAATATTATTCATGCTTTAACAAAAACCATTAAATCAGACTTTCAAACTATACAGAATTTAGAAAAAACCCACAAATTTTTGTCTAAATTTCGAGCTTTTTAGCCAGAATTTTCTGAAATTTTTTAGGTTTGCAGTTAACAGGATTATAAAATTTTAGTAAAATTAGTGCAAGTTTTAAGCGGCTCAAAAATCGTATTGATTTTTAATATTTTATTTTTTTGTTGACGGCCTTTTGCACCGAAAAACCGAAATTTAAATTCTGTATAAAGTGTGAAAGTCTGATTTATATGGTTTTTTAAAAGCATGAATAAAATTTTTATAAAATAATATCAAAAAAATTTTAGCTTGAAAAGCATTGTAAATATTAAAAACGAAACACCATTCATCCATTTTTGACCGCCACTGTACACCTATGGCCAAAATAATAGAAACACGAGATTTTGACTAATTTTTACTATTTTTCTGTTGCTTGTTTAAAGTTCATTAATTTTTTATAAAAGTAGTATTTTTTATAAAAGTATTATATAACAAAGACTTTTTTATATACTTTTATTAAAAATTAATTAATTTTAAACAAACAAAAGAAAAATAGTAATGGCCGAAATGTCGTGTTTCTATTATTTTGGCCATAGCTGTTCACACATACACATGTACAAACGAAAGTATAGTTAAAAACCAGCAAATTTCATTCAATAAATAAAAAAATTTTATTCATTCTGTGGTTGGTATTACAAATACATATGCATTGAATATGTATGCCTTTGAATTGGTAGGATTACACAAGTTAAAATTTGTGCTTATACCTTTGTTTCAAAAACAAATTCATTAATAGGTACATTAAATACTCACATACATATGTGCATAAGTGCACAGGTGTGTTTATAAAAATAACATAAAACCTGTTGACTAGTTAACTTCTAATAGTGCAAATTATTTCAGTTTAATTCGTTTTATGTACTTTTTTATGTACGTTTTTAGGTACAGTTGTAGCTATAAAAAATTAACAATATATAACTTTTCTCAAAATAATACCACCTCAACATTTTGACTAGATTTGACTATTTTTTATTTAATGTTCATAAAATGTGTATAAAAGTATAGCTCATTTGTAACAAAAACTGGAAGTTCTAATGAAAAAGCCTGTTTTTTAATTTTTGTACAAAGTTTGAAATTTGTTTTTTGTTATATAATGAGATCTACTTTTATAAACAGTTTATGAACATTAAATAAACAATAGAAAAATAATCCAAACTTGTCAAAATGTTGAGGTGCTATTATTTTGACAAGCGCTTTGCATGGTAAACTATAAAGAACGTAAATTATTTCAGAAAGAATTATTTTCATTCATTCATGTATGTTATTAAAAAAATGTATAAATCCTACTTGTTATTTACCAAACCGCCCAACAAAAAACGCAAATTGCGCATTTCTTCCAATTTCTCTTTTTCCACCTCTAGCTTTCTTTCTTCCAGATCCATAAAATTTTTCAGCGTTTCTTTGTCACTATCAGCCTCTTTTTGTAAAAATTCTAGAACTTCGTTTTTCATTTTTTTAGCTTTTGGTTCCGGTGATGAAGTATCGGGTTCTTTTTCATATTCACTATTCTCGTTTGTCCCAGAAAGTATTTCAATCAGTGAACATTCCAAATTTCCTTCCGGCACAACAACGTCACTCCGGCAACCATAAACCTCGTCCATTTCATCGAAAAACTCCCATGTCGTCGCTGCTTCGCCGGATGTGTTGTTTCGCTTTTTAATGCGTTTATAAGTGACCGTAAAGTTTAGAAATTTTCTTGTTATATCATCCCGAGAGAACGGGAAGTCCTNTTTTGGTTCCGGTGATGAAGTATCGGGTTCTTTTTCATATTCACTATTCTCGTTTGTCCCAGAAAGTATTTCAATCAGGGAACATTCCAAATTTCCTTCCGGCACAAAAACGTCACTCCGGCAACCATAAACCTCGTCCATTTCATCGAAAAACTCCCATGTCGTCGCTGCTTCGCCGGATGTGTTGTTTCGCTTTTTAATGCGTTTATAAGTGACCGTAAAGTTTAGAAATTTTCTTGTTATATCATCCCGAGAGAACGGGAAGTCACTATCCACTTCTTTGATTTCTCGCAAGACTTTTTCCCATAAAACGGACCGCTTCTTGCGTTTGGCACAGAATTCCCCTTCATTACGCAGCCTTGTATTGAGCAGAAGTTTCTTTTGCTCATGTGTCCACTTTCTTTCGCTGCAAAATAAATGTATACATAAACATTTATGTGAATATGCAATACAAAAATAAACATAAGCACCTACCTTTCGCTATTTTCCATTTTTAAAACACCAAACGCAAACAAAAACAAACGAAGCATCAACTTTGTTAGTGATGCGCTGGTTGCTCTAGCGATACGTTTCGATAACTTTTCGGATACGTTTTGGAACAGCTTACACTGTCAATATTTTGTAGTTCGGCGTTATGGAACATTACACTTTGTGCGTATGCAATGCAATTGACGTTTTGGAAGTCAGCCTTTGTTTACTTCTTTTAAAATACATAGCTGAGCGGGACTCTAATATAGCTCGACGTTACTCGTTTTAGAATATAAAGCCTCAAGTAAGGGAAAATATTTGTATTAGTTATGTAGATGTGCCAGTCAACACAATTACCAATTATAATTAAAGTTGTATTCATCTAATACCAAGCAAAATCATCGTTTTTCATTTAAACTAACAGCTTTTATAATTTCCTGGAACGTCCTGCTTGATTTGAAGTCACGTCTGGTCTACGTGCACGACTTTATTACGTTGGTGCAAATAAATTAAAGCAGCCGCAGTTTCGTGAATGCCTGGTTCCGGCAATTACTGCCTTAGAAGTCGAGCGTCAGGAAGAAAGGACAACAGTGAAAGCGAGTTATCGTTTGAGAGCACAGAAATGGACGAGACAAACCAGCTGGGCCCAGCCGGAGGGGGTCAATTAACCGTCATTATCGCGACATTAAACGCCTTAAGAGCATCGGTGGAGGAACTAAAGAACAACTCCGTCGAAAGCCAACGAGATATAATACGGTTGCGCGAGAACATTCGACCGCAGGAAATGAGCGAGCAAAACGTGACAACACAGTCAGCACAACGCGAATCGAGCATAGTCGCCTCCCCATAGTCGCCATCCCAACTCTACGATTTGCCCACCTTTGCCGGTAATGCGGAAGAATGGCCGCTGTTTTTTGCTAACTATAACGACACCACCGAGGCATTCGAATACGGCCATCGCCAAAACTTAATGCGACTACAAAAGTGCCCTGCAGGCCCTCCAAAAGAAACAGTGGCAACAATGCTTATCCACCCACACGATGTTGTTAAGGAACATCAATAACTACATAATTTGGTTTGTGAGTATTTTGCATCAGATAGCTTCGGCACCAATCCGACTTCGGCAAAGTTAGAGTCGGATGAAGATAAGCGAGCGCGTCATATACTAGAACCAACAACTACACGACAAGCAGATAAGCATTATGAAATGGGACTTATTTGGAAAAGGTTTCCGCATCAAGACAACGAATTTGCTGTCCGCTTCACGGACACACTTTGCTCCCGCGGACCACCGAACCTACACCAACTTTAACAAAGATGATTGGGACGGCTTCGCGGAAGTTACCGAGAGCAGTTTCGTCGCCCTTCCCACACCCATAAACGTACATGCTGGCGAACGCCAGTTCAGCAGGGTAGTCACTGACGCAGCGGCTCGCTTCATCACGTCCGGATGTACCGCGGAAGTCCTCCTAAATTTACCGCCCGAAGCAAATGTACTAGCAAATGAGTGTGACCACCTACGCCACCTACGGTCGATCCCGGGGACCCTCGAAAGCATGCTGTGAAACATACAAATAGTAGATATCTAAATGCTATGCACAAATTTACTTTAAAAGAACTAGTGTGAAACTGACTTATTATTTGAGAATTTATCTAAATTATTCCAATTATAAAATTGTGATGTAGCTTTATTCGAATTGTAATACGCATTTAATTTCATCTTCCGATTAAAATGGATCGATCTCTGTAAATTTTAATTGGAGACTATTCAATATTATCAAAATCACCCTCTACCAACTTAATTTTTACATATTTCGTCTGTTTTCCCTTAATTTGATAAAATACTTTTTCCTAGTTACGACTTAGTTGCAGCTGCAGCCGAAACTAAATTTTAAGTTGGTACTTAGCCAGAAAAGTCGAAACTAAGGCGACTATGAATAGCTTTAGTTGTGACTTAGAATAGTTTCGACTTAGTTGAGTACTAAATATGACTATGAATATGCGCCATTAAGTTTAAATTATGTTTGCCCTGAACTGCCATTTCCCCGCCTAATATGCATCATTTTCCTTTAATATTGGAGATTGAGTTTTTTTGAATACTTTTGCATTCCTAGAGATATGCAAAGGGTTTAACTATGGCTCTTGTGACTTCCACTCCTATTCTGCAACTCTTTCGTATTCGAATTTTGCTAAAAATCGTAGAAATAGTATGCTGCAATCCGAATCGTATTTTCGAACTTTCGAAATTCATAACAATGGCATGCCTAAAAACAAACGAGTAAGGTTTTTTGCGTAATTTTGTACGAAAACAATTCTGTGTCAGAGGCGAGATAAAAGATGTAAATCGATGTGTGTTTGCAGGAAATATTAGTGGTGTTCATTTAAACAGATAAATTTGCATGTACGTATATTTTTATCCACTGCTTTATATAAACGAGCAAAAAAGAATCTTTGTTGCCCCTTATCGAGAAACTTGGATCCGGTTTAGTTATTTGTGCAATGATTTTCGGTTGTTGCGTCCAAACGCATAATCCGAATCCAAAAGCTTTAACATCACGTGTAATCAAAGTATTGAAATTTTATTTAAAATAAGTGTTTGAAATTTCCGAGCACTATCTTATTATTAAATTCGGTTTGCACTATGCACTTTTTTGCAAATTTCGACGTGGGTTCTCCGCAAAAATACTGT